GTTAGCTAACGCTGCTTACTGCCTGTGGACCCTGGGCACAAACTGGCAACCGTAAGCTTCTCTGCAGCTTTACAGCAGCTAATCTTTCCCAAAAATAACCACCTCAATATCATCTTGCAGAAGATGGGAAAACAGTTTTTGAAAAAACAAAGTGGAGCTGGCAGATTTAAAACATATGTTTGCATATCAGACAATATACATACCAATACTTATATTATATGACAGTCCAATATGGGCCAGCAGTACTGAACGGTTAAAAAAATAAACAACTTTCAATCAGATCTTTGTCTTTGTGTCTTTAAAACTACTCACTATACTCAAAAGTCCATTTAAACCACGCTAGCAAGAGAGCACATGATTTAAATGACTGTTCAAGTCTGTTAGCTGATGCTTGTTAATACGCTCATCTCCACGGTTGTGCGAGCACCAGATGACGCATTGTTATTCCACCGCGAGGCCATGCAAGAAGATCACAGTGCTGCAGGGAAATAGTTAACCTATGCCCTAGGTATGCAGCCACGGGGCACCCTTGAAAAACGGTTCATTTAAACTGAGTTTTGTGCTGATGTCTCAAACCACCTCAGGGCAAAGTACAATGGCACAAAATGCATCTTGAAAATGGGTGACCTATTCCTTTACAAATCCATGAAGCATAAATCAGCATGCCAGAGTCGCAGCGCACCAGACAGAGATTCAAAGACACAGAGCGAGTCTCTGTGATGCATTTGTTCCTCCATTTATAACCTCGATGAATGGATTGAAGTGTGCCTGCATTCACCTCGGTGTATTTTTATAATCAGGATGTGTCTGACTTGGTGTGCTGTGCCGAGTCTCGCTCTGCCGGCTGAGGACTCAGGATCAGGTGACCTTGGTGATTGTGGAACGTGTGGACAAGAATAATGAGACGTTTGCTAACAGAGAGTCAGTGGGACCACTGAGGAGGCTCAGGTGGGGATTGACACTGCCAGAAGATATTGCATCTGACCGAGGAGGATGGCAAAGGAGGAAAGGAAAAGCAAAGAAGGTGGCATAAAAACTAAGAGTGAGCCAGAGTGTGTCACCAATCATTTTCTATCCCAGATAAACACGCCGTTTTGATCCCAAAAAAAGCATTACAACTAGATAAAGCCGCCTATAAATAAGCCCAGCTGGTGCTGTACTGAGGCAGAAGGACTGACAGTATTGCCTGTAGATGCATTTGAAATATATGTCTCAGTTCTTCAAACAAAGAATAGATATGACAGTACGGTTCAGACAGATAAGTCACACATCAACACTCTTCTCTCTGTCAACAAAAATTGCTTCTCACCTGGCTTTCTTCCACCAGCATCACAACGTGTCACACAAATAACCAGCGACTGGGTGGAAGAAGTGGCTGAACATTAACTGGAAAGATTTTAGGGTTAAAAACTACAGAACAAACAGTGCAGTGAGGCAAACGACAGGAAGTTCTTGGAAGGGGAAAACTCAACTGTGAAATGGGCCCAATCAAACAGACTGAAGTATCCCATCGTGGAGAGGGCTGCCCATAAGAGTGGTGCCTAAACTTTAAATTACTGCAACACCAGCTGAATATTTCCAGGTCAGCTGAAGAGATCTGGGTTCCCAGTTTTACTTGGGACCTAAAAATGTAAAACTACTCAGTAATTCTTAAGGATAGAAAAAAAAAAGCAAAAGATTAAATGAACGTCTGAAAAAATAAATCTGCTTACTGCTCCCCTCCCCTATTAATCATCTTATGATCCCTCGGAAAGGGCCTCAACTCCCAGACTGAGAACCATTGATCTGTAAAATCTACATTAGGCGGTTTGATGTACATCTACTTACCTACAGACAGGTGACAAATTTAAGAGAAAGACTGAATAAATTAGAACACAAACACATCCATCATAGATGCCTCCACATAGGGCTCAGCGAGGTATGAAAATCACATGCTATGGACTTAACAATTGCCAGATTTCAAGTCAATCTTAACCCCAATGGGAGATACAATAAGTAAAAAAGTAACTCATCGCCTGTTCTGTACTTTAAGATATATTAAGCACATAAACAGGAGACTGACAAAGGCAGCTAGAGAGAGAGGGAGAGCAAAGAAACGCTGTGGAAGAGTGCTGTGTGAGAAGTCCGGAAGTGCAGAGCAACACCAGGTGGTGGAGCGTCTGGATGCAGGCAATCAAAGACCGGTGTTACCTTGACAACTGTGATGCCTTGTTGATGATAATCGCTGAGCACCTTGCTGTCAGCACCCCCCCACACCTAGTGAAGGTCTATTAGTCTATGTGTGTGGACTTATTAAAAGATTAAGAATAAACAAGGGCAGCACTGAAGTGTTCGGGCTCAAAGTTGATTTCTCAACTGTTCTTCTCTTTCTTTCTACACAGTTTCATATCGCCGTACAGACCAAGAAGCATATCTGATACAGCAGACAGGCCCATCTGTTCACTCCAGCCGCAGTGGGATCTGATCAATAAAGCCCCGGTGGAGGAGAATGTGGCTGCTGTGGTCTCCCACACTGATTGGAATAATGGATCAGCTTTTGGGTCACAGTGGACTCATTGTACCAGCAGCATGACCACTGAGGTTTCCTGCCTCCACACCTCTTTGTTTCAACTCTTTTAATTAAGGAGCTGGGCAGCCGAATTCCCTAACAGGCTTAGCTATTGGCAGCCTTGCAACCAGAACTGATTGTTCAATTCAGGATTTAGCAAGTAAAGCTTTGTATGACCAACACACGCTGCTTTAATTTGTCAGCGTGTCGGGCCTAATGCAACACTCGCAAATAAACATTAAGGCCTTAAAAGCGGGTTATTTACAGAAAATGATGCAGAGTGCATTTCAGCTGAATGCTCTGATGGGCTTTCACTGATCTGATGTGGACCAGTCCTGTCCTCTTCCGCTGCATCAGCTGGTGATTTTCTGAGCACATAGCCACTGCAGCATCCTACCACCTCCTCCTCCTCCACTCTCTCTTCTCCTCCCCCACCCTCCCTCAACCCCTCTCCACCTGCTTTTAAATGCATGGCGCTGCCCTGCCAACCTAGTCTATGCAGGCAGCATCACTCCTCTCAGTCCCTCCAGAGTGAAGGAGGAGGCTGTGGAACAGGATGGATGGTTATCAGCTTGTGCAACCCGGGGGGTTGTAAGAGAAGGAGACAAGATTGGAGTGAGCCAGCGAAAGCCCCTCTGCACTTCCCCGTAGTACCAATAATCGATTGGGGAGATGAGAGGCGACCTGAATCAGAATGGCTCACCACAGTCTGACTGAGATCAAACTGGTTTGGCTCAACTGTAGGCTGTCCTGCTCCAAGCATCCAGTGAGTTAACAGGCCATCAGACTCGCTGCACTGTAATCGGGTAAAAAATTCATTATCAAGTCATTATTATTCTACCTTCAAAAGAAAATCAATAATGATCAGACCCCCTCCTCCTCTTCTCCATGCTAGATGCATGTAATATCATGCAGCACACGCCATGCCTGATAGATGAAGGAGGGGGACACAGCCAACGCGCACACGTCCTATACCTCCCCCCAAAAGCATTAGTCTTCCAGACCTACATCGGCTGTACATTTTGCTCATCTGTTTCGTAACAGTACACACCAGTCATGGAAAAAAAAAGAAGAAAAAAAAACCCAGCTGGATTAAATCCTCTGATCTAGGCCCTGCATCGCCGACACAAGCCTCCGATGGAGGGGTGAAGATGGAAGAGGGGTGGAAACGTATATGTGCTCCAGAAATAATGGCTGCTTGAAGCAGAGTAATATAAACCATTAACAGCTCCAAAGCCACCTATACACAAACGTATATGTGACTCCTTTGGGCTCGGGATGCAGGGCCCTGCCTCCAACAATAGGCCTGTGCATAATTTTGACCCATTCTCATACACACACACATATGTCGATGGTAGCATAATGCTAGTCGGCCTTTGTCCGCGTTGGATCTGTTTGTTTTTGTGCTGCCAGGACGTGCACACATGCATGATTTTGCCCGTTTAGGGACACGAATGGAGTACGTTGTAGGGGTCCTGATGTTGTGCGCAACATTAAAACCACTCGCGGCTTGTTACAATCTGCCTATGCATCACTTCAGGGTACATATCGGGGTCAGGAGAATAGCCTGCATAGACTTTTTCCAGTATCCCCCACAGTTTGACTGCGAATGTCTCCGGTTGTTGTAGCTACCGCAAACGGGTCATTTAGTCAACAATGGCCGGTGATTAGACTACCCTCAGAGCCTCGGTGGGGTCACATGCTTCATTCAACTTCTCTGGTCTTAAATATAACACACTATTATTTCTTACAGCGGCCTTGTTTCATCTAAAGGAAATAAAAGAGAAATATCAACCACCTCTCGAACAAACAAATGACATCATCCCCTGAAAGCCACACAACCAGGAGAGAGCGAAGCATCGTAAATAAAACATAGCGGGTTGGGGCGCAGCGACTGTGCTGTGCTCTATGGCTTCCTTTCAGCGTTTTCCAGGACTGCTCGGTCCTGCTCCCACTCACCAGGTTCAGCACCGTCTCCACGATGTCCCTGTTGCTAACCTCCCCGACCTGGATCAGGCCCACCAGCACGGCAAATTTCATCTGGATATTCCTTATCGGAACAGCGGGGTTGATCACCCCAGCCGGGAGGACCATAGAGCCGGCTGCAGACACCATCCTTTCCCCGGTGGTGCCGGAGCCAGAGCCCGCGGCGACCTGCTGCTGCGGTGGCGGCGGCTGCTGCGTGGAGGAGCCCGCCGGAGGATGGGACTCTCGGTCCGTGTCCGTGAGCGAAGAAGCAGAGCCCGGTGGTGCTGAAACCGGCTTCTCGCTCGACATTTCCCCTCGGAAACAGGGAGGAGAGGAGCGGTCGCCGCTGTCCCTCACACCTGCTCTACAAGCTCGGGCGTCTGCTGCTGCCGCCGAACAAAAACCATCCACTGCGCAGGTGAAACAAGGGGGAGCGGCGTTTGAAAAACTCTGGAAATTCACCCTATCCACCTGAAAATGTGTAGGGACTCATAGGTGTAGGAGAAAAAAATGATGGAAGCTTGACAGGAATGGAAACCTACGCTTCTCTCGCTTTCTCTCCTCTTTCTGTCTCTCCTCTCTCGCTCTCTCTCTCATTGGCAGGTTGCAGTCAGTGCGGTCGTAGAGGAGACAGCGCCATGTTAACGCCCCCTGTCTGCGGTAGCGCGCTTTAGCCGCGCATGCGCAGTGTGGGGATTTCTGGGCGGGTGCTGAAGCGGAATAACATGGAGCCATCCATGCATGGGTTCACAACAGAACACAGCACAGTCGAAACAACTGTGTGTTATTGTGAGTTTTAAAAATATATATAAATATATAAATATTGTTTTACTTGTAAATATTTAATAGTGCGAGGGTGTGAACATGGATTAATGATGGAACTTTCATTACATTTCTTTAAGTAGCAGAAATAGGCTGGGTCAACCTCCACAGATGTATTTTGGGTGTAGTGCAGGGGTAAATCCAGATGGAGTTTAGGGCGCTTGGTTTCCAGACAGAGGCTGTTTATATATTCAGAAGCCATCCATTTGTCCCACTTACCTCTGTCCCCCAGTTCAGCTCTGGTGCCTTTGTTTATCCATTAAGCATCCCACTATTGTTCTCCTGACACTAATCTGTTCTTGTGTGATTTTCTCATTTTCCCCGGGTTTTTTTTATGTCGTCATCAACTGTCTTCCCCTTCAAGAAATTAATTTTGTCTTTTCACTTTCACACTTTCCTTACCTCATCACCTCTCCATCCTTTGCCTTCTGGTTTGCAAAGCGTGGTCCTTACTATACTGTCTAACTTAAAATAATAATAATAATAACAATAATAATAATAATACGGCTAATTGTTCTGATATCTTTGTATGACAGGAAATAAAGTAAAAAACCTTCTATTTTCACTTCTCTGTTTTTGTATCCCTTCTGGCTGAAACTAACAGAATGTGCAAATATTTGCCTGGAGATGTGTTTACAAGCAGTTGCCATGGAAACTGTTTTTCGTAATTGTACGTGGATTATCTTAAAATAATATAACATAATGTGTGTATGTGAGTGTGTGTGTGTATGGGGGCATTTAATTATGCATTAAATTAACATATATGACGGGTATTGCATACAATAATACAATATCTCAGCTGTCACATGGCCCATGTGTTGGTGATCTACTCAGGTTCAGGTGTGTTTATGAGAGAGGAACTAAAAACCTGAGCAGTAATAGAAGTGAATGTGTTTTGTGTCAAATTCAAAATGTTTTATAGGCTATATGTCTTCCATGGCTTCATTGTGTTTATGGCTCCTTCATAAGCTATAGTTATGACTTGATCCTTTATGAATCCTACCCTATATGATCATAGTGTATATCTGTATTTCTGTAACTCCTCCTAAACATGTCTGGATGAAACGTAATACTTAAGCTGCCTAGAGTACCAGGTAGTGCTGTGTAATACTGCATTCTTTTGTATCTGTCGTATAATGAGTAAATACAGAGCCGGTATTGCGAATGCCAACACTTTTAATTTATAAAGCCAGCTTATGTAGGGAAGAGCAGTGTGGTGTGACTTATGCAAATTATGAACACATTTTAATGACCAGTAAGTTACTGTGATTTTTACATTCCATAAAAATTGGTCAACACAACAAAGCACTCCTTTCAGCTTACATAAAAATACATGAAAAGCTGAAAGGTAAATGTGCCTGTTCCTGAAGCTCTTTGGGTTGTTGTTTAAATGACCTATAACTAAAATAGACATGACAGTCAACACAAAAAAGGTTATAGATGCATACTTTTCCATTTCTGGAAAAAATTGTTTTTAACACAGGTCGGTGGGCTACATATTGTATTTAGAGGATAGGAACAAAATATCGATCCTATCATTCTAGTGTCGATCTGATACTGATATCAACATCTATAGTTCTTTTGGAAAACATTTTTAAAACCACCAAATCCTTATAAATCGCAGCTGATCTCAAAACGAACGTGTATGTTAGTAGTAAGTTGCTGTTTACGAATAAATTTTGCCAAAATGCAGTGACACGTGTCACAGGAATGTGATGTTGCGCATATCAAACAAACAGTGATGCTAATAGCGCCTGCACCATAGCTTCCAAAGAAGAAGAAATATATTTAGGCTATTTATTATTAATTTCTTTGGTGTCCATGAACTCTTTTTTTTTTTGCTACCTGACCGTAAACAGTCGTATAATGAAGATAAAAAGAAGAACATGATAAATTAACATACATGTCTGTGTTCTACACAGCAGCTGCAGGCCTGGAAAAACCTCCCGCAGGGCAATTCTTTGCTAGTGTTTATGATTAACAAATGATTAATGGTACAGAAACCAAAATGCACTTAGGATTAATAGGATGGGTTGGCAATACTAAACACATACACTCACCAGCCGCTTCATTAAGTACAGCTGTTCAGCTGCTCGGTCTAATCAGCCAGTCACATGGCAGCAAATCAATGCATTTGGGCATGTAGACATGGTCAGGATAACCTGCTGCAGTTCAAATGATAGAAAAGTGATTTCAGTCACTTTGAATGTGGCATGGTTGGTGGTGTCAAAAGGACTGGTTTGAGCATTTCAGAAAGCGCTCGTCTACTGGAATTTTCCTCAAAACATTTACTGAGAATGGTCGGAAAAAGAGAAATTATCCAGTGAGCAGCAACTCTCTGGATTTATGCCAGAAGTCTGAGGAGAATGGTCAGACTGCTTTGAGCTGATAGGAAAGCTGTAACAGTAACTCAAAAAGAAAATGCTTGTTATACCAAGGCATGTAGAAGAGTACAACATGAAGAAGCTTGAAGCAGAGGGCTACAACAACACCAGGTGACATTTAGAAATAGCATTAGGTTTTTATGATCAAATAGCTGCTAAGAAACCACTACTAAGGAAAAGCAACAAGCAAAAGAGATTTGTTTAGGCCAAGAAACACAAGGAATGGACATTAGACCAGTGGAAATCTGTGCTTTGGTCCAATAAGTCCAAATTTGAGATTTCTGGTTCCACCCACCGTATCTTTGTGCAACGCAGGAAAGGTGACCGGATGGTCTCGACATGCATGAAGGAGGAGGTGTGATGGTGTGGGGGGTGGTTTGCTGGTGACACTGTTGGGGATTGATTCAAAATTGAAGGTACACTGAAGCAGCATGGCTACCACAGCATCCTGCAGCAACATGCCATCTCATCCAGTTTGCGTTTAGTTGAACCATCATTTATATTTCAACAGCACAATGACCACAAACACACCTCCAGGCTATGTAAGGGCCATTTGACTAAGGAGAGTGATGGAGTGCTGCACCAGATTGCCTGGCCTCCACACTCCTGACCTAAACCCAGTCGAGGTGGTTTCGGGATGAGAAGGACCGCAGAGTGAAGGCAAAAGGGGAGACAAGTGCTCAGAATTTCTGGGAACTCCTTCGACACGGTTGGAAAGCCGTGTCAGGTAACTACCTCATGAAGCTCACAGAGGGAATACCAAGAGTGTGGAAAGCAGTAATCAGAGCAAAGGGTGGCTGTTTTGAAGAATCTAAAATATAAAACATGTTTTGAGTTATTTCACATTTTCTTGTTTAATATATATATCCATCCACTGCTTTTACTCATCAGTTTTTTAGAAAATCTAATGAGGCTTGATGTCAGGGCAAGCTGGAGATGCTATTAGCTCAAGTAAATTCATGACAATTCATGATGTTTTACATGACTGGATGGCTTTTAATGCATGAATTCAAGTGTCAGTTTATGTACCCTTCTTGCAAATTGTTACCATTTCCATCAATTCAGTCGATGTCTCGGCTGCTTAACCGCGTCTGGATTTTATTCCTTTTAGGTTTTTTAGGTCATGCACTCATTTGAGTCTCTTTGAGCAGTGACTCACAGGTCCAGCCACAGCGTCTCACAAACACATAACTCACACACCTACACTATCCTCTGGTGGCTGAACAGACCGTGGCTACTGGCACCTGTGTGTGCACACATAAGCCTGTTTTACACTCCACGTGTTCTTCCAGAAGGCCACATCTGCCGGGTTGGATTTCCATTAACAAGGCAGCTATAGAGGCTGATTCATTACTCTTCTGGAGCATGCCTGAGTGTGTTTTCACAGAGGACGCGATGTCTCTTGGATGTCTTGCTTCATATCTTGAGATGCTGACCGTTGACAGGAGTGGGAGCTGGGGGTGATGTGGGAGGGGCATTTTGTAATGGTGTGTGTGTGCACGCAAGTGTATTTCACACTGTGTGAAATCATTAAAGAATGTTACAGATGAACAGAGGCCATCATACACACCCCTCCCCCGACCCAATCTTCAGCAAAAAGGAGACAAGCGCGCACACACACACACACACACACTCCAACAAACGCACACTGCGTACAACAGTTGTATCTGTTACTCACTTCCCCACACTCAAGAGAAGCAATTTCTCAAGCTAATACATGTGATTTTGCTCTTGGATGTGAACACACTTGGGTTCACACACTCACACACACACACACACACACACACACACACACACACA